GTTTTTGGGCTTTTCTTCTCTTTGCAGTCTTCCATATTAGAAGCTTTTCTCAGATGTTTGTAAATCCTTGCCTGTCTCCTGTGATAGGGAATTGGGATTTACAGAGCTTGTTGGAAGCTCTGAGTGGTATGAATGAGGTTATTGACTTGTTCTGTGGGGTGATCTGGGTGGCCTGTTGGGTCATACCAGTCGATTTAGAACTTTATTCTTTGATCAGATTCCTCATAGAAGAATCTATATATTTTACCTGGAGGGGAGGGTATCCAAGTCTGGCTGCCTGGGTTCTTGGAGTCAAGTGAGGAAAGAGAGCTGAGCGAGGGAGGGGTGTCATTGTATTTCATATTTGGTACACATGTACTGTCTCTAAATTCCCTTGATGGTGGCAGTGGTAGTGGTTTTGTAAAATGCCCAACCCTCATCTGGTCCTGTAGTTCTCATAATAAACCAGCAACAGCGAGCGGAGGCAGGGGCATGCTTGCTGCTGCTCACAGCCTTCCCTTCAGCCTCCCTGTCTTAGCTTCTCTCCCTTTTACTCCCAGTTCAAGAGGAATTTGATACTGCTTTTAACTTAGCCCTTTTGTTTTTCCTACTACCAGTTTGTGATTTGGCCTCTTCAGCTCTGCTAATTGAAAAAACTTTATTATTCATCAGTTTTTCATCTTCCAAAACTTTGTTGCTTTGTCTCTTGGGTTTTTCTCATCATGTTTTTTTTTTTTTTTTTTAAGTTCCCTTTATTTTATTTTTAATGACATTAGGGAGAGAGTGAAGTTAGATGCTTCTGTTTTGTCCTGATACCTTGACCCAGAGATCATTTTTCGTTCTTAAATACATGTCTTTAACAGGAAGTCTTCGTTTTAATATACTAGTGATATTTGAATCAATACATTTTTTAATCTTGTTTAAAAAATTCTCTCCTACTGTGATGTCATAAAGACTCTCTTGTAGTGCCTTACATAGATGCCCGGCTGTCACGCTGAGGCCTGAGAGGCCATCCTTTCTCTGCTGATGGGCAGCACCAGCGCTGCTGACCATCATGTGCTGCTCTTTCTGAGCTCCCGACTCTGGACACACCTGCCGTTATTGCACAGCTTTAGGGTAGTTGCCACACTGGTGAGCAGTCTTCTTATCTTGATCTTTGACTTCGAAGGCAGAACTGGGTATGAATTCCAGCTCTTTATAGCTCTCCATCGGTAAAATAAGACATTTCTGATTGACTGACTTGGGGGGGGGACAGATACTTTTAAGAATCACTAGTAAGCTATACATTTTCATTTTCTGATTCAATTGCTTTATAATCAGCTCTTTACTGCATGAGAGAAACAAAACAGCAACGCAACTATTGTGGATTATTGGACAGACGGTGGAGAAGAGAAATTTTTAAAAATAAAACTGATGCTTTCATATTTAAAACAAAACAAAAACTCTGTAATATGGATGTTCCAGGCATTCTGTAAATGAATTCTCATGGCAAGGTGAAGTCAGCAGGTCTTAAGTAAACTATAAAATTACACTATTTTATGTATTTTATGTTTGTTTCATCATAGGATATATGATTGGATGCCCGAACAGCCAAATATATTCCAAGTGGAGCAGTTGGAACGTCTGAAGCAAGAATTGCCAGAGCTTAAGAGCTGTTTGTGTCCCACTGTTAGCCGTTTTGTTCCCTCATCCTTGTGTGGGGAGTCTGATATCCACGTGGATGCCAACGGCATTGATGACGTGGAGAATGCTTAGTTTTTATTGCACAAAAGCCATTTTGGGGGCATGCACCGCTGTTCTGGGTATTCATTTTTCATCATTGAGCATTGTACATCTATGCCTTTTGGGCTTCTCAGTTCAATGAAGCAATAATGAAGTATTTTACTCTTTCACTACAGTTCTTGCAAGAATTTCAAGTATGCTATTTAAATCACTTGGCCAGGTATAATTACCAGTCAATGTCTTTACAGTGAGACAATTTATTGGTTAGTAAATATTTTAAACTAAATATGTAAATCTATAATGTTAAATGTTCATTAAAAGCATAGCACTTTGAAATTAACTATATAAATAGCTCATATTTACACTTCTTAAGCTTTTCATTTGATCAGGTCTGAAATCTTTAGCACTCGAGGAAAATGACTATGCATAATTATACCTGACCATGGAAAAAATAAGTACCTCAAATGCATGCATTTGCACTGGTGATTCCAACTGCACAAATCTTTGTGCCATCTGTGTATATAGGTATTTTTTACATGGACTGAGATGCACATACACCATTTTCATTCAGTATGAACCTTGGGGCTGCTGCCATTTTTCCACTTGACCAAACCAGCCTGAAGGTGAACCTTAAACTTATTTCCTAAATCTTTCAGAAGCTGTTTTACATAAATGTTAAAATTTCAAAATGCTGCAGGGTAATTTAATGTGTTAAATATTAGTAAGAAGTATGTATCGTATACTTAGCAGAGTAGATCACAATGTATAAATTCGATTCAGTGCATGCGTTAGGTTTTAAGCATGAGATTGTACACGTTTACTGTTAAGTCCTTGCATCTGTGGTGCTAGGTGAGTGTGAGAAGATGTCAAGGACTGGAAATACTTTGTTGCCTAAAAAAAAACCTGTTTATAGGCGTTTAAATATGCTTATTTTAAGTGTCTCTCACTACCTATTACGCACCGTTGCTTTGCGGGTTTGTTTTGTATGTGTTGTACAGTAGTTAAATCTCCATGCAGAAAAATAAATGTCCTGAATTCTCATATTGGTATCTTTATTGGTTAATGTATATCATGCATGTAATTTGTTTAGAAACGTAGAACTTACTAAATGTATATGCATGTTTTTAGGATTAAACTAAGGTTTCTTTCATTAGAAGCAGATTGTGTTGACATAACTGTAACTTAAGGATGAATGTTAAATAAAATGATACGGATTTATTTTCTTCATTATAAAATGAAATTTCAAGAAGGTGTTACTTGTATAGAATGGTTTTTTAATATTATGAGAAATAGAATTTCAGTGTCTACCCTAAAAGGATGGCCTATTTGCATCTACCTTTTACTGCATGTTTTTCATGAGGCAGTTTATTCATATATCTATATATTTGGGTAGTAGCTGAGAACCTAAGACTTGAAATTACTCATTGTACTTTTCATTTTTTAAGCTAGCAGTGCAATTTTGGTTAGATCTTAATTGTGTGAATTATAGGCTCTGAAATCCTGTGGTATTGTATTTGTAACACTGATACTTATGCAAGGGTTCTATATCCTTTTCCCACATTGAATGAGATTTTCCAACATTTACGTGTGAATTAGGCACTTTTAGAAAACTCCTGAAAAAGAATGTTTTCTTCATCTGCAGACCTGTCTAATGCAATTACCATTTCTTTGTGGTAACTTGATTAGCCATAGTGTGCACGCCTAGTCCCGTTCCTTTGCTCTTTTTCTATGCCTTCCCAGTTCTAGTTCCTTTTAAAAGACTCCAGGGCAGAGGGAAAGCAGATCATAAAGGAAAAAAAAAGGGACAGAAGATACTATACAGTGGTGAAATCTGGGGAAAAATAAATAAAAAAGGGACAGAAGAGAGGTTGAGGAAAGGAGGTGGTAGGCGGTGCTGGGAAGAACTCACTGTCACTGCTTATGACACACAGAACTTTCTTGCTCACTTTCTTCCCTTTCTCTTCCTGACCTTATAAACCAGTGTTAATAGCTGATTAAGCAATGGCTCCTCACTTTTATATGACTCAGCCCAGACCCTCATGTCACTAGCTGTTGTCCTTTACACTCTGCTCTGCCACACTGTACCTGTGGTCAGCCCTGGACATGCTATGCTTCTGCACCATTCCCTGTCTGTGTCCGTGTGTCCTTGGCCTGGGAGCCACTCCACCCTACAGCCACTTTCTCTCTGCTGAACTCATTTTTGCTCAAGCCATCGACCCCTCTCCCGAGCCCTTGCTGACACTCCTTCAGAAGGGGAACCCAGTTTTCTGCTCCAGAGCATTAGGCCCACGCCTTGACCGTGCTGTGCATCACAGGGCATGCTAGGTAGGCGTCCTTGATGCTTCTCTCGCCTAACGAGCTGTGGCTCTTCAAGGGCAGGGACCTCGTCATACTCATTTTTATTTCCACAGTGTGTGGAACGTAGTAGAAAATGAATGTCGGAATTATTGGGATAATATACTTTGTATCAAATGTCCTTTTGCATTAAGAGATTTAGTTATGTTCACTGAGAATGTAAACTTGGAGTTGGTTTACATTTTGACAGGAAGGTATGTTGATGTCAATTTTGAAATGTAGAGCTATAATGTTAAATTATTTATACTTTCTGGAAATCAAGTGAAATGTTTGATAAAATGCCACCATTGTCCTTTGGTATTTTCTACTCTCCAGAATTATGTACTGTGAATGACTGGATGTAAGCATGAGGGACACCGCTCATTCCTGTGTGGGCGGTGGCCTGAGGGCTGCGGCAGCTGGCTTCCTGCCACCCACTTACCTCACTCCCATTGCTCCTGTGACACTTGTCTCTCTTCTACCCTCCAATCTCCAAGCTTACGCCTACCTCAGTACTGCTTTCCTTGTCTGAAATGCCTTCTCTGCCTTCCTTCAATGTCCACTCAGGTACCACCTCAGCTTTTGATCTGAATCATGATGGAAACAAAGGCAGACAGCCTCTAAATCTTGCTCGTTCATTTTACAGCTGGGGCAGTCCACCCAGAGAGGGGAACTGACTTGCCAGGTTGGGACTAGAATCTGGGTTTTGTGACTCTGAATCCTGTGCTCTCAAACTACGCTGCCTTCTGACATCTGTGGCATTGGTTAGCATATGCTTTCTTGTAGTGCAACTTCTCATGTGCCTGTTATATTTCCCTAATAAGATTGTAAGCCCCTTAAGGGCAGGGACTGCTTTGCATCTCCAGCACTACTATAGTGTTCTATCCTTAGTTATGAAATAGATCAATAAATGGTGGTGGCAACAATCCTAGTTTCCTAACTCAGATTGTTTCATGATAAACATACAATTTTGTGTGGCGTGTCTGGCCATATAGTCTGGAGTGTGTCCACATGTGCATGTGTGTGCGTGTGTTTTTTTTTACACATGGAGTTCTCACTCTTTCCCGGTTGCATGGAGTCACATATTTGATGGACTGCCATAAACCAATTTTTTGCTCGCTGCTGAATGAGGAGAATTATGAGAATAGTAGTTATTATTCCATTGGTTTAAGTGGGAGATTAGGTACAGTTTTCCCCACAGCCTGGCTTCCCCTTCCTGGGGGAGTGTACCTAAATCCTGCAGGTGGTGGACTGGTGGTGAAGAAGGTGCTGCTTTGGATAGGACTTGCATGACGCAGGGGACAGGCTGTCTGACTAGTCCGGGTGGAGGATCGTTACCCTTTCTGCCTGGGCTCTTTGTCTACAGCTGCCTGAATTTTGTCTTTCAAATTATTATGGGTTTGGTATTCTAGGTTGATAATGGAGTTCTGTTCATTTAGATTTGGATATAATTGAGTTACTCCTTTGAATTTTAGGTTTGGATCATGTGCTTTTGGGGTAGAAAGCAAAGTATTCGTATTAGAAATAGTGTTATTTTGCTATTCATAATTGGAAATTTTCAAATGTAATCTTTTAGTGGGCTTATATAGTTTGGAAAATAAATTCGAGATGTTTAAAATGCAAGAGGGCATATGATTAAGAATATATCATGCAAGTGTATGTAGGAAGTAAGGAGAAGAGATTATGGATTGGAACAAAGACTTTATGGAGCTCTAAAGCTCCTTTACAGACTGCGGTAGAGGTCAGAGTAGTTGTGAAACCAGTTTGGGTCACAGCCCATGTAAACTCAGAGGTCAGGGTTGCGTTCAGGGGGAATGAAGGAGCCATCCTGACAGTGGGGAAGATATTATGAATGCCAGATAGAAGCTTGGCATTTGTGTAGGAGATAAAAGTTTATTAATAATTTTTAAGAAGGGAAATGACATGGAAGGCAAGTGTTTTAAAATAATGAGGAAACTAGTATTAGTATAGGTATAATAAAAGGAATACTGTTGACTAATCTGTCTAGTCCCCTACTAAATTTATCCAGACACACCTCTGCCTGTTTCCTCAGATGGAAAACAGAAATGTGGATGGGATGGGTGAACTTCTGAAACTTATTTGCAAAGCTAAACTGCATACCTTCATAGGAAGAAAGCAAGAACAGCTTAGCATAAGTCCCGTGGCATCCCGCACACAGTTTCAAACGTATCACTCTGCAGCTTGGTCCTGAGTTCCCCACAGTTCCAGATTTATACATCCAGCTGGGTCCCCATCTCTGCTTAGGGGGTCTGATGGGCATCTCACACTTAATGTACCTCCACAAAGCTCATCCTCCCTCCCGCCTTCCAAACATGCTCCCATCTTACCCTCTCCAGTGTTCTATGTTTCAGTAAGTGACACAGATTCGTACAGATTTATATTATGTGATAGGGTAGTTGCCCAACTTTTAATTCAATTTTTAAAAATTCTTCCAAATGTTTATTTTTATTCTGTTTCTTGTTACTGACTTGAAGCTTATCAAATATTTTCTATAATAATAACTCGAGTATGACTTTAATAAAGTGCCAGAGAGGTCTTCTTGGGATTCGGAACAGTGTTTAATTTGCTATGTTAAAAATATAGTAAGGATGAATTAATGTTTTAAAACTACATCTTTCTCTCCAGAACACAGTATGTCTCCATTTATTTAGAATTTTTGTGTTTTCCAGTAGAGTGAGTTTCCATGTGGCTGTTATATACTTTTTTCTTTTTCTTAATTGAGATGGAGTCTCACTATGTTGTCCAGGCTGGTATTGGGCTCAAGAGATCCTCCCACCTCAGCCCCTGGAGTAGCTGGGTCTACAGGCTCATGCCACTGTGACCAACTGGTGGTTGTATGCTTTTTGAAGGGTATTGTTAGATTTTTAAAAACTATTAATAGGTTTTTTAAAAATTTCTATTACATTTCTGCAAATACTTCACCAATAACAAGCAGTTAATTTTTGTTTATTGATCTTATTTCTAGCTCTCTTGCCAACTTCAATTAGGTAAAATATTTTGTTATTTAAGTCTCTGGGATTTTCTAGATAATTGGTCATATTGTCTACAAATGCATTTTCTTTCTAATTTTAAATATCTTTTCATTTTATTACTAGTAGCAATTCTAAGCATCCTTGTTTCCTTCATGATTGTCATGGGAATATAAGTATGATGGCTGCTGAAATTTTCTAGTAGACAATCTTTAAATCTTCTACATCTTTTCTTTGGGGTGGACCATGCATTATCCCATTATCCTTCGAGTGCCAAAGATCTATACTTTTTTTTTTCTAAACCAGCTTTTAGTGTTCTTGAGCAATGTTTTTACTGTCTCATTAATTATGGCTCTTTAGTTTTTAAAATTTTACTTAATTTGGACTTATTTGGTACTTTTTCTTACATCTTGAGCTGAATCTACTTCAATATTAAAGACAATTTTGTACTGTAACAATGGAATAATAGACCTTGACCTTGGAGAAATAATATTTAAATGGAAGTGGACTAAGAACTTTTATTTTAAGAAAAAGAATCTATACTCCTTAGTGTTTCTGTAATAATGGGACTATGCACTGTATAAACTTTTTCATTTTTTGCTAGTCTGATTGGACTAGATTTTCCTATATTGTCATTCATTTAACCATAACTAAAATATTTGCTGAGAGCTTGGGTAATCTGTAGGAAAATAAAGGTGCCTCTATCTTCAAGGTACTCATTATTTACTTGAGGCAATATATGTTTAAAAAAATAGGAGATAGCAGTTGTACAAAAGAACAATAGAAGGAAAATCACCAAACCATATCCCAATGCTCATTTTATGACAGAGATCAGTCCTACCACCTCTACTTCAACTGGAATGGCTTTGTTTTGATCAGTTCTGTTTCTCCTAGTAGAGATGTGATTTCAAGATGG